TATATATATATATATATATATATTTCTGACTTGTTTTTTTGTCTATTTAAAAGAAAACATGTTTAGTTATTTTAAAGACACAAGTGATAATTATTTAAATACTTTTTGACTAATAAATTTCCAAGAAGTTGAAAAAGAAAGAAAAAGGAAAAGGAAAACCCTTTTCTTTAATCATCAAGTCCACACTATCATATATCCCACGACTTGATTAAACTCCTAAACATACACCCACTAATTAGAAATAATTATATTCTCTTATAACTACCTTCTCGATCGAGGACTATCAACGACAGAAAATTCCATCGTTGATATAAGAATGTGTCGATGATCCGTCATTGATAGTTTGTCGCTCAAAATTTAGTAGATAATGCTTTCAGCGATGGATCAACAACGAAAATTAGCGGACGGATACATTCAGCGATGGATTATCGACGAATTTTTTTAGCAAAGGATTTTCTTAGCAACGAAATATTTAGCGAGAGAATAACATATTTTTAGTGACTAAATGTCCGTCGCTAGTTCGTCGCTGATTTTAAAATCATTAAAAAATAAACAAAAAATTACATATTTCCTTTATTTTTTATACATAAACATGTCAATAAAATAACGAACTCAAACTATCTAACAATTTAAAAATAACCAATTCATACAATTTAAAATATGGAATTCATGCAATCTAATGTTCCAAAGTTAATTAAATAACAATCTAACAACTAGGAGGTCGAGACACAGTGGTGGTCGGCGGAGAGGTGCTCAAACAGTGGTGGCTGACGACAATCATGGTAGGCAGTCGCAGACGGTTTTGGGATTCGGCCGTGGCCCGTGAGAGATGGTCGGTGGCCGTCGTGGGAGGCAGTCATTGGAGGCGACCATGAGAGGCGGTCGCTGGCTCGTTTCGATTTCGTCGATGCTCTTGATATCGATCGTGTCCCTCTCTTGATTTGGAACAGAATATGGGCTGATTAGGGTTCAATTTGGTTTAAAAAAAGCGACAGAACTTTAAAATATTTATTAATTGAATTTAATTAGTTAAACCTGGTATAATTTTAGTTAATTTAATTAATTATTAGTTATTAATCTTTAAATTATTAAAGAATTTATTAATTTCTTGAATTAGTTTTTTAGTTAATATAATTAATTATTAAATATTATTAATTTATTAAATTACTGTTTCAGTTAATATAGTTAATTACTAAATATTTATTATTATTTTATTAAACGGCCACTAATCGACCGTAAACTTAATCATATCCCATAATTAATTAAATCTACCTAATTGAAAAAATTAGAATAAAAAATTTATATAAATTTTAAAAATATATTATTTAAATAACTAAATAAAATTTATATAATTAATAATATAAATATAAAATTTTGTCCATGTATTAATTTTAATAGAAAAAGATGAAAACTTACTTTTTAAGATAGAATTTGTGGACCATAATAAAAAGCTTCCATCCATCCATCCATTTTCAATTCAAGAGAGAGAAACCATAATTATGGAACCTCAAGATCAACTTAATTACCTCCTTCTTCAAACACATTCCGGTGTCGTTACTATCGGAGAAGAAGATGCCACGGTGGACCTGCAACCACTGCTGCCCAGTCCAAAACCACCGCAAAAGAGAGGATCAACAAAAGACAGACACACCAAAGTCGACGGAAGAGGTCGCCGGATTCGCATGCCGGCCATCTGTGCCGCCAGGGTCTTCCAGCTCACACGTGAGCTCGGACATAAGTCCGATGGTGAGACCATTGAATGGCTGCTCCAACAGGCGGAACCTTCCGTCATCGCCGCCACCGGAACCGGGACAATTCCCGCCAACTTCACTTCGCTCAATATATCTCTCCGGGGTTCGGGTTCCACCATCTCGGCGGGACCCACGTCTTACCTGAGGAACGGTTTTAGCTTCATCACAGATCAACCGACGGCACACTTGATGGATTGTCCGACGTCGGCGAGAAAACACGATGAATTGTGCGTGGATCCACTGGGTATTGATCAATCTAATTACATGACTCAATCTAGTAATCCGGCGGGTAACGATCAGATTCCGGCGAGGGCAGTCTATTTAAACCCAAACAGTAGTAGCACTAGCACTCGTTCTACTCGCGTTTTTTCCGGCGATTCCACATGGAATTTTCCTTCTACCAGTAATAAAAGCAGCAAATATAACAATAACAGTAATATCTATAGAGGGTGCTCAAGGCCAAGTAACAATGGCAGCGGCGGCGGTGACGCCGGCGGTGGGGTACATTTTATGAATTTTGGTACCCAAACAGCACTCTTCAACGGGCAACAGTTCAGTGGTGGTGCCATGACAGCAGACGGGATGCTGGCGGCATTAAGCTCGATTAGAACAAATTTCGGTGGTGGTTCCGATCATCTAAGCACCATGAATCACGGCGATCATCATCAGCAACATGAAACAAGTAGCCACCACCATTCGTAGATGGCATCAATACCAGTGTATGCAGGTATCTGGTATCATTATGAGGCCCATATTTCAGAAGGATCTCCATTTACATTTCAGTATCCAAAAACAATGTTATTTTACACTAAACATCGTAAAGAATTCATAATTATCCCATAAATTGGTTAAAATTGTTCAGGACTGTGTTATGTTTCATACCACAATGCATGTCTTCAAGGTTTCAAATAGCAAGAAGAACGACGAGCGACAACGTCAAACTTCAAGTTTTAGGAATCACGTTGACTGCTACAACGGTTTTTAAGGTGTGATTTATGGTGATAAATCTGTATATATGATTTATATATATATATACACATATGTTTTCTATTGTTATTGAGTAAGTCAATGATATTAAACAATTTAAATTATGTTATACAATAACATATAACTAAAATGTAAGAAAAAGTCAAATATGGTGTTACTAAAACTACAGAGCAGGCATGGCGTGTCACAGGCTTAACATGACATGAGGCATGCACGACATGGTGATCCATTTAGAACACTGCATACATTAATTTCATCGATAATATATATAGATATATATGTGTATATATAGCTCTGATGCTTTCATGCATTTGAGATTAGGGTTTATACAATGATTCCCATAACTTCAATTCTCTTATAAACTACATATATTGTTATGCATGATCGATGCTTTTTTGCAACTATCTTTTTTTGAAACGGATAATGCAGTGCTCATTCTGGGACGGTAGATGTTAATCAATAATGGTTAAATTAAAACATAATAATATTCATTTTTATTATATTTGATATGATATTAAAATATAATAATCAATTATAATAACTTATATATATATATATATATATAAATATATATATATGATTTTTACGCTTGAAACTTCACAACATAATGTTGTGAAGGTAAAAAAACCGAATCTTAATAGCAAAAACATTGTGAATGTTACTTTCACAGTGTGTTGCTATAAAGTTTTAAGTGTAAAAATCATGTCTCACGAAAACAGTCTTATCTCACATAATCTCAAGTCTATCTATCTATATATATGTGTGTGTATGTATATAAACATATATATATATATATGTATATATATCTGTGTATATATATATATATATATATATATATATATTCTATTATAAAGCATTTGACAAAAATTCTTAAAAATCATTTTTTATGCATGAAGTACTGTTTATTGATGCATATTATTTAAAATTCAAGATTACAAGTAATTTTGTATAAGTACAACTTATTAAAGCTCCATTTTTAAATTTATGTGACTAACCGTAGATAAACATAATCAAATACAGAATAAACATCCATTTTAAATATAAAAAATTTAAATTTTAATTAAGATAATCATTGAGTTCTGACAAAATATTTAATTATTATCTTTATAAAAAATTATATTATTAAACCAAAAATAAATTGTTTTGTTATTAAATCTAAGATAACTTATAACAAAAAATTGAATTAAGAAAGTTACATAAAAAACGAGAACTATTAAATAGTTAATTTGATATTAATATTGATTTATTTTTTTAAAATTTTTTATTCAATCTTCAAATTTATATTTTATTCAAAAATAAAAATATCATCGTTTAAAAACTAAACCATTAAAATGAAGATTTCTATCGATAAAGACAGAATAAAAACTAAACATTAAAATGAGATTTATCTCGCTGCATTGCGTGAGTAATATATATAACTCACCAAACATATACATTTTCAGCCATTTTTGAAACCGAATTCTAATTTTGGTTATAGTTTATGCAAATGTCTTACACAAGCTTATTTTCAAATTAAAAGAAAAAAAAAATGACTGAAATTAATCTAAAAATTCATTACGTAAAAACATTAATCTGAAAATTAAGTTTACTTAAATGCAGAAGAAATATAAATAAAATTTGGCTAAAATAGGAATTTGCTTGATAAATGACTAAAATGTGAATTTAATTAAAGAGGGTAACTATTTTGTTCAATTTTCCTAATATTTGGTATTAAGTTTGATAATTTATTTATTTTGATTTTAATCATAAAATACATTTAAATAATTCATATTTTTGATTAAAAAATGAAAAATAACAAAACAAAAATATAAAATTTAAACATAAAACATGTGCATAACGTTGAAACATTTGATAAAATAGCAAAAAAAAAATTAAAATTACATAATATTGTTATTAATTGAGTTAATGTAATTATCATGTTTTAATAAAATAGTATAATAATAAAGAAGTATTTTATTTTATCGCTATTATAATATTAAAATATAAAATATATTTTTTCGTGTGTAACAAGAGCTAAAAAAATTGATATAATGTTAATCAGATATCCTTTAACGATTATAAGACCTGTTAAACCTCATGTAAGCGTCATAAACCACTGGATGGATATTCTTTTGTCGTTCATTATTGATGATCACTACCTTACTAGTAATATAGCTACAAAGTTATCTCAAACCAAAGAGTAGAAACACTGTGATGGTTACCTTCACAAGATTTTGATGTGAAGTTTCAAGCGTAAAAAAATGGTCTCATGGGTCTACGAAAACAGACTGATCTCACATGATCCCAAGTCTAGATATATATAACACGGATTTTTATATTATTATTTATCCATTGAAATGTCTAATCGTGTGTGCCAAAGATGAGATTTTCAAATAACTGGTTTTATTTCAACATATCAACCAAATATCATAATTGAAAAATGGTTAAAAAAATTCATTTATTATTCCATTATCTCCTTAAAATCAAACATAAATTTGGTATAATAGCACAAAAAATCAAATATTGGTCATTAATATACTGTCTTTTTTATGGTAACAATGGGTTTCACTTCCTGGCTAGCTTGTATGTCGTACCGATTAATCTTCCAGTTAACCGTGAATGACCTAAAGTTATCGTAGATGAACCTTAATAACCACAAAAGCTTTGGTAATGTTTGGATTCGAACATAGGGTAAATAACCACAAAAGCTTTGGTAACGTTTGGATTCGAACATAGGGTAAATATGAGATTTTCTAATATATAATTAACTTTTGTACAAACCGTGCAAACCACCATCATCCGTCGATTTTATTGTTTAATCTTATGAAATTTTTTCATGAAATTGTTTCATATAATATTTTTTTTTGATAAAGTTGTTTCATATATGGTTATGAAATTGTTTCATATAATACTTAATGAAATTTTAATGAAACTGTTTCATGTATTTCTCTAAAATTAAAATAATGAAGATGATAATATTCATGATTAACACCCTCCAGAATTAAAATGATTAATCAATCTCTAATAATTACAAAAAAATGAACAAAATGAAAAATTATGATTGGTTGAATGAGGTTTGTACAGTTTATACAAATTGAACGGTTTGTATTTGATCGCTCCTATATATATATATATATATATATATATATATATATATATATATATATATATATATATATATAAAAGTTGGGTGAAATAGTTTCGAGTATTTATTTGGTCCTACAACCCATGATTCTTGCTCTGCTCTTGTTTACTGTTATTTCTGCATCATCAACCATTCACATTTTACTCACAAAAGTCCATTGTTATGAGTTGTACATGTCGTTTTTCCATTTACATATAAATCTCATATCTATGTATTTATTATATGCATATATATATATATATATATATATATATATATATAGGGGCCTAATCAAATGAGAACTAATTAGTTTGTGATAACTGTGTGAACCAATATTAACCACAAATCAATAGATAAATTAGGAAATTTATAATTTTGGCAATTTTGAATTAAAATATTAATGCAAGGATATTTTTGGTATTTTAAAACTTTTCTCCCTCCTCTCTTCTCTCTCCGGCCACCGTCCTCCGGCCACCGGCCACCGTCCTCCGGCCACCGGCCACCGTCCTCCGGTGATACTACAATGATATCACAATGCATCATATATGTGCTTGGGTATCACAAAGATGTCGTTTGTGTGGTCGATCGAAGATGTAACACAGTGGTATCACTATGCATCTTATATATGATTAGGTATCACAATGTATCTTTTGTTTAACAGATATACACGTGTGTGTATGGACATGTGTATATATTTTGTGTAAAACGTGCAAGTACGGTTGTCTTCTTTATCTTGTTCAATAATCCTGTATATGTATATGTAAAAACCAATAAAACGTTTATTATTTAGCAATATGAAACATATAATGATGTTTACTTAGGACGGACCTAGAGAGGGGTGGTTGAGGTGGCATGTGCCACTATATTGTTCATGAAAGGTGCAACCGTTTTGTTTTAGAAGTTGCAATTGTTTTATATATGATGTCACCATATAGAAAAATTTCAAGGTCCGTCCCCATATATGTTCACTACCATGAAACAAACTTTACTTGTTTATAAGTTTCGCATTGTAAAATAATTAAGTGTACAACAATAACTTGAATCTTAGTATTAGATGAAACAATTACATATAGAACAATATGTTACGGTTTGTTCCTACGGGTTAATTAAAAAATGTTAGTTATGAATATATATATATATTTTTGAAATATATAATATTTATATACGGAATGCAACAAATAAACTCACACACCCTCCTCATCTTTGACGAGGTTTGAACCCGGACTGCGATACCGCTAGGCCGAAGGCCTTTTGTTAGTTATGAATATTTGTGGTTAACTTTAGCTAATCGTTGGTTAAAACATGCGATATACCATGTTATTGAAACGAAAAAGAAAAAGTTTTCTTTGAAAATTAAAAAAAATAACTGAATTAAAAAGGCCAGTTTTCAATATCTAACATTGAAACTTTGAGTTACCTATTACATTCAATAGATATACAATATAACTTAGAGAAATTCGCCTAAATGATCATTTTTCACATTCAAATTGGTTTTCTAGCCATTTCTCTCCCGGGTTGACCCAAATATCACTACTTCCGAAATATCTAGCCAAAAGACCAAAAAAAATGTCAAATTCAACCAGTTTATCATCGCAATTATGGACTTGGCCGTCACAATTGTATATTTGTGTTAAATTTGATTATTTCTTTTTGGCCTTTAGCTATTGCAGACTTGGATGTTGCGCAAGTAGTGACATTTTGGTCAATCTGAAAAAAAAAATGGATAGAGAACCAATTTGAATAAAGGAAATGGTCATTTAGCTCA